AGTTTGTAATAGCTAAAGCTTGGAAACAGCCCAAGTGCCCATCAACTGGAAACTGGATAAAGAAGATGTGGGTTTTTTAAAATAAAATGGAGTACTACTCAGCCATAAAGAATGAGAAACTAGAGACATTTATAACTAAATGGATGCATATTGAGGCCATACTTTTAAGTGAAATAAATAGGACACAGTTGTGTAAAAATCAAATCGTTTCTCTAGTGTGAGAAATTGAAAGTGTAAATAAGGATTAAAACAATTGAAAAGAATAATTGATAATTTGAATTTGGAAGAAAAGGTCCAAAGGGGTAGGGGAAGTGGGAGGGGAAGGTGAAAGTCAAGATGGGAAAGGAAAAATTATGAGAAAAGGAAAAATGGAAACAAAGTCTATGTAAATAGGGAAGGGTGGAGGGAGTGAAGGGCGCACAGGTAATGGGGAAAAAATAAGAACCAAGATACTTCATGTACAGGTACAAACACCCAATGATAAGTGTAAACATATTGTATACCTAAAATGTACCAATAAAAGAATTTAAGCAAAAAAAACTCCATTAGACACAGAGCTAGTGTAACTAGACTATGTATCAGATCAATTGTGCTTTCAGTAGTAAACAAATAGAGCATTTAATTGCCAGTAGAGCAGTAAGATAAGGGCCCTAATGGCATTGCCTCAGGACAGCTAAGTAATCAGAAGTTGTCTAGGTTGGAATTGACAGCTTTACATGGATGACTGAATGTGTAGGGCTGAAAAGTTGTTGAAGTATAAAATTAAGAATTTATTTTCATTTTTATTATATATTTTATAGAGTGACATCAACCAACTTGCTGAATGATAGTATTTCTGTGTTCTGATACAAAAAGAATATCTGCCTTAAGAATTATGATTTTACATCATCTTGAACTATATATTCGGTAGCTACAATGAACAAGACAACACAGACAAACATTTAAGGAATACAGTAATTGGATATCAAGAAATACGTGAAATTTACTAAACCCAGGTGTGATTCTGCATCCAATACTTGCAATACCTAAAACAATGGAGCTTGAGTAATATTCTAACTTTTAAAGTACTAGAGAACATTTTCCATGCATTATAGAAATGATGTTGGTTATTTAGTTAAGGAGAAACAAGGCAATTAATGTTATTTGCAATGTTTAAATTAGCTGATGTTAGTCCTTAGATATGAAGAACCAGGCAGGAGAAAAAATTCAGGGTTATTACATACCAAAGTTTAGTTTTATTATTTATTTTTAGTAGTTATCATGGCTGTATTACTTACAGTTATTGCAATTCTGAGAAGAAAAAATTTAAACTATTATACTTGGCAACCACTGCTATTTGGTTAAGTTGCTTGACTTCTACAAGCCTCAGATTTCCACTAGTCAAATAATAGAATTCTAATAGATTATCAAACTATGATATAATATTATTTTCTAATGCTTTAATTCATAAATTGAAAAATGAAGATTAAAATTAAACATATCCCTCAAATTGTAACTATGCTTTTAATTATACAAATAGTTTATCCAAACAGTCCTAAAATAAAGAACAGGATAGGTTTTAAGTACAAGGCTTTTGTAGATAAAACTTTTGGTTTTCCATCCATGTTGAAGAGCTGAGCTGGCAAAATATATTTTTAAACCATACACTATAAAATAAGATTTGGCAATCATGCTAGCACTTGTATCTTTTTTTTTTGTACCGGGGATCAAACTTGGGACCTTGGGCTTGCAAGGCCAGCTAGAAGGAAGATAAACTAAGAAAGGGAACAAAATTGACTGCTTTCTGTGTGATCATAAGTAACAGGCTACATTGTATTATGGACAGTTCACAAGCTAAAATATATTGATATAAAACATTTATAATTCCTTTGTAATATTTAGATTTAATAAAAATTTGCACCTCTCATAGGCACATGTTCTGTTTAGGAAAAAAGCAAGTGTTCTTGGATCTATACAATAACATACATTATCTCATTTAACACTTGCAGAAACTCTTTGGGCATCATTAGCTAGAATTTCCAAGTAACTTGTTCCCAGCTGCACATGAAATTCCCATGTTACAGCTTGAGTGGGGATTATTTTGAGAACGTGACTGTCGACTTAATTACCCACACACATGACTTTCTGTGTAGCATCAGATCCATCATTCTGTCTCTGAATCAGGTTATGGGGAGTGGTCGAACTTAAGATCAAGCTTAAATTAGAATGTCTGCGATCCTTTATTTGATTCTCTGTCTGGGAAGACTTTCTTAGCTTCTTACAAACTCACTCCTTCCTTTGAATGGTGTCCTTCGCAGGAATGCTTAAAGAATGGACATTTTCCCACGGACCCCTGCCGATTCTGAATGAACAGATTCTCGCCTCCCGCCGACTTGAGAATATAATGCTTATCCCCATCTTTGCTCTTTACTGACAGCCTTCATAAAAACTTGCTCAGAAGACAAATGGCATGGCAGAACCTCTGAACTCATTAAGGGAGGATACAGTGGACTTCTCCCAAACAGCACTACCATTTTTATCATGACCTAACCATAGTTTTTTTGTTGCGATGGAAGAAGGACGCTGCTGAGAGCCACTGTTGCCTTTTGTCAAAAGCAGTGTGGTGTCCCTGCAAGATTCCTGCAGAGGGACTTGGTGCAGGTGGCAGTGTGTAGATTATCTGTAGCAGTTTGCTTTTGCACTTGCTGTGTCCTCTGTGAGGACAGCCTTTCTCTCTTCTCTACTTGCCCTTCCAGAGCTGGGCTGAAGGTCCACGCCAACCGAGGCCTTCCCATCCCGAGGGCATCACTCTTCCCCTGGGCTCTGCCGGGGAAACGAACATCTTGCAGTACCATTTATATGATGAGTGTCTGTCTTGTTGATCACAAGGACAGTATCCTATTCACTCTCACACTCCCTGTACCCAGACCAGTACCTAGCACACGGTGGGTGCTGGGCCATCGATGAAGCGACTCCCTATCACTTTTTCATGTTGGGACCAGACATGTATAGAGAGCTGGGATAGGCTCGCGGAAAATATGGACCAGCTCCAGCTCTGCCAGTTACTTTCATGTATCCTCCAGTTTCCTCATCCTTTCAAGTTTCCTCATTCTATAAAACTCGCGATGGTAATGATCTCTACCCCGTGGAAATAAGTTTTGGATAATGTGTTCAGGTTTGTTGGTTTTCTGCTGTTTATTCTTGTGCCGATTGTGATTATATTTTCCTCAGAATCAAGCCTATCTTATTTTAATTTGCCTTCATAAAGTAATAATAAATATTCCTCTATTTGTTTATTTTTTTATACATCTGGTTATATCCCATTCCTAATTTGTATATATGTGTGTTTTCTTGCCTTTCTATTTTCCTCTTTCTGGAGAGAAGTATGTCAAAATATTCATGGTGGCTTTCTCTGGGTGATAAGATCATGAGCTATTTTTCTATATTTTCCAAATGTTTGGAAACCAGTACATATTGCTTATATATTCACAAAAATATCCTTGAAAAAACCTTGTGGTTTCTTTCTTTTCCAGTGAGGAAGTTGAAGCCAGGAAAATTTCATAGGTGGATCAAGGCCTTAGATTAGAACCAGAAAAGCTGTTCAGGGTCAGCCAGTGGTCAACGGTGAGGTCAGAGCTGTGAAACCCATCATTCCACCACTCCTTGTCTGATAGGAAGAAATGGCACCACTAAACCACTTCACCTCCTCTGGTTCTCACCTAACATAAAAGCTGAGGGCAAAAATGAAGGGGGTCAAGAGATGGGGGAGGGAGAAGGGAGGGAAACGGGAGGAAACATGGAGTGTAAACACTGTGCTACACAGACGTGCTAATAAACTAAAATAAAAATAATTCTTCAAGTAAGGATTTTTAGAAATGGGTAAAAGATCACTGAGAATTAATCACCTTATGGAGCAAGTTGAGTTTGGGGGAAGTCAGTGTATAGTTGGTAATAAAAGAAAACTATAGGGATAAAGAACCTCAGTTAATACATGAGGATAACATATATGGCAATGAGGGAAATACATTTGAATTTATAAACTATTATTTCATATTTTAAAATTTCCTATGATCCTACACCAGGATTTTAACAGGATTTGGGGGGGGGGGTGCTGGGGTTGAGCCCATAACATCACACATGCTGGCAGGTGCACTGCCAAGGAGCTGCACCCCAGCCCCTCAAATTATACATTTTTTAAAAGCTGGGAGAAGCCTTCTTGCGACTCAAGAAAAAAGGATATGTGGTCCAACTTGAATCGATAAATCTTTGGGGATTACTTACTTTAGTTCTTTTACTAGACCAAAAATAGAAACGCTTGAAGTACATGGTTAAGGAGGTATTTTCTAAAGGACTTTCTATAATTAGACTTTAACTATGGAAGAACTAGTGTATTATCCTATAAATCTGATAAGGATGGACAAGGCATCTTACTCACCTTTAAACTTGAAGTGACTTACCTAATAATGTCCACACAGCAAATACAATCATAATTGGATCGTTTCCTCATTGGCTATAAGCTTGATGAGAGTGAACTCTTTTCCTCATTTCATTGTTCTAAGATTCTCAGCAAGCCTTCAAACCCTGCAGGACAAGGAGTGTTCAACAGATTCCTAAATTAATAATGTTAATAAGAGTGTGTCAAACATTATGCTCACTCGAGGACCATAGGGCTATCCCTTAAATGAATTATTCATTTATTACGTGCAGTAACTTCCAAATACTAAAATCTCCACTTGACAAATTGAGTGTAGAGAGATTATAACACTTATTCAAGGTCATATAGCTTGAAAATGATTTGGCCAGAATTTGGCTCAGGTCTGTGTGACTCCAGAGGTGGATTTCTTTACTACATTGATCTCTACACTCAAGCAAAGTTTCGTAGCTGAATAAATGAGTGAAATTTTACTTGCAGAAATGTGTATTTATTTCAGCACTTTTCTTTAAAAAATATTTCTGAAGCTTTTTAATAAGATGAGATCCCAGTTTTTGATTCTTTGTGCTAGTTCCCGTACTACTGAGGTGTTGTTCATAAACTCTTTTCCTATACCAATGTCTTCAAGAGTTCTACCTAACTTATCTTCCATCAAGATTAGTGTTTCTGTCTTAATATTTAGATCTTTAATACACTTCAATCTTAGTTTAGAGCGTGGTGATAAATATGGGTGTAGTTTTAATCTTTGCCAGGTAGAAATCCAGTTTTTCCAACACTATTTATTAAATAGGCTATCTTTCCTCCAATGAGGGTGGTTGGCTCCTTTGTCAAAGATGAGGTGGCTGAGTATGTCTGGAGTTATTTCTGTATCTTCAAATCTATTCCACTGATCCTCAGGTCTGTTTCTTTGCCAGTACCATGCTGTTTTTATTACAGTAGCTTTGTTTTATAATTTCAAGTTGGGGATTGTGATACCCTCAGTCATGTCTCTGTTGCCTAGAATTGTTTTTGCTATTCTAGGTCTCTTCTTGTTCCAAATGAATTTTTGGATTGTTTTCTCTAGTTCTGTGAAGTATTGTTGGAATTTCAATCGGCATTGCATTAAATCTATATAGTAGTTTTGGAAGTATGGCCATTTTCACTACATTGGTTCTTCCTACCCAGGAACAAGGGATGTCTTTCCATTTTCCTATATCCTCCTCGATCTCCTTTAGAGAAACCACCAACAGAGCTAAGAGACAACCTATAGTGTGGGAAAAAAGTTTTAGCAGCTGTACCTTAGACAAAGGACTACTATCCTCAATATATAAAGAACTGAAAAAAATCAGAGTCCCCAAATTCAAAAACCCAATTCAAAACTGGGCTTCTGAAATGAACAGACATTTCTCAGCAAAGAAGTGAAAGCAGCAAATAAATATATGAAAAAATGTTCAACATCACTGGTCATTCAAGAGATGCAGATGAAAACAACACTGAGATTCCACCTCACCCCAGAAAGAATGGCTGCTATCAAGAAATCAACCAATAACAAATGCTGGCAGGATTGTGGGGAGAAAGGAACCCTTCTCCATTGCTGGTAGGAGTGCAGACTGGTGCAACCACTGTGGAAATCAGTATGGAGATACCTCAAAGAAATAGGACTAGAGGTCCCATTTGACCCAGCTATTCCCCTGCTGGGTATCTTCCCAAAAGAATTAAAATAATCATACTACAGTGATATATGTGCACCCATGTTTATAGAGGCACAGTTTGTAATAGCTAAAGCTTGGAAACAGCCCAAGTGCCCATCAACCGGAAACTGGATAAAGAAGATGTGGGGTTTTTTAATAAAATGGAGTACTACTCAGCCATAAAGAATGAGAAACTAGGGCCGGGGATTTAGTTCAGTGGTTTTGCCGCCTGCTGCACAAGCACAAGGACCTGAGTTCGATCCCAAGTACCAAAAAAAAAAAAGAATGAGAAACTAGAGACATTTAGAGCTAAATGGATGCATATTGAGGCCACACTCTTAAGTGAAATAAATAGGACACACGTGTAAATACTGAATAGTTTCTCTAGTTTGAGAAACTGAAAGTGTAAATAAGGGTTAAAATGATTAAAACAAATAATTGATAATTTGAAATAGGAAGAAAAGGTCCAAAGGAGTAAGGGTGGCGGGAGGGGAAGGGGAAAGAAAGAAGGGAAAGGAAAAATTATGAGAAAAGAAACAAAACGGAAATGAAGTCTATGTAAATATGGAAGGGTGGAGGGGGTGAAGGGCGCACAGGTAATGGGGAAAAAATAAGAACCAAGATACATCATGTACAGGTACAAGCACCCAATGATGAATGTAAACATATTGTATACCTAAAATGTACCAATAAAAGAATTTAAGAAAAAAAAAGATTTCTGAGTTTATAAACATCTTTCTAAGAGAAGAAATAATTATAAGTGACAATGAGAAAGAAATTTGTTTCCCCCTAACTAATAAGATCATTTCTCTCCCCTACTCAATTCCTGTCAATAGTTGGGGAATTAACACCCTACAAATAATATTTTATATTCATAATCTACAAATAACAATTGGGATTTGAAGAAAGTGAAGGAGAAAAAGTCCCTCTGCTGTGGGGGTGTGATATTATAATGCAGCAGTATTATTATACTCATGTTTAGCCTTCTCCCTGTCTTTATCCTGATCATGTTTTGGATGTGTATACAGTTACACACCAAATGGAAGTGTGATTTGTGCTTTATAACATGAAAGCTTTTGACTTTGTGTACTGCCATAGGTACTGGAAATAACATAGTGGGCCAAAAATGCTGGAAGGACAGTGAGGGGCAGGCATAGTATGGTTCTACCCAGACGTTCAGTTAGTAAAGAGTGAAGACCCGTATATGCAATTACAGCTGTGCTTTCCTCAGGCTGGGAAGATAACAAGTTTGGTAAGAGAAAAAATGTGTAATCAAGAGGCTTGCATTTATTCTTTTGTATCACTAAATTTGTGACACAGAAAGATTTATAAGGTAAATAAGTAAAATTCCTTACCTGTGAAAGAGATAGCTACAGAGCTATCTATGAAGATACAATTTGTGAGCATATATTGCACAGCAACTGACATACAATAAGCGCTCAACAAATATGAGTCAGTGCAAATACAACTGGTGAGCACAGAGAAAACACCAGACTGCAGAGTTCTGAGGTCAACACAGGAGGCAGCTGAAACTACAGGTCAAAATTAACACAAACAGCCATCCTGGTCCAGTTTGCCAGGGATTGTCACTGTTTTACACTTAAAATCTTGCCTCATGATCTGGGGAAACCCCTTAGTCCTGGGTGGGCAGGGATGGCTGGTCACCCTAGCTCAGAACAGGATATGGAACATTCAGAAGAATAGTCCTGATACTGACCAACATTTTTCAGGCAGAGGTTTTCTGACCAATGGGAAAAGATGATCAAAGTGCATAGAAGGATGAGCCCCAGGAGGAGGTCAGTGGACACCTGGATGACCTGCCTGAAGGACCCTCAAGGAGTCCGGCAGTGCTGTTCATACGCAGTGCTATTCAAGAGCAGATACAGTGAATTTCTTAAGTAGCTGTGGTGATGACACTAAAGTGAACGGTGAGAGAGGAGGAGTCTCTTCAATGAATAGTGCCATAATGAAAGAAAAAAGAACAAATACATAAAGCAATCTGCTACCTCACATAAAACCCAAGAGTTAACCACTTAGAGTCTAAATATGGAAGAAATTTTAAGCATTTTAGAAGATTATAAAGGGGAAAAGCTTAATGAAAGATTTCTTAAGTGAGCTATAGCTAGGGAAAGATTGATAGTCTTTATTACATTAAAATAAAGAGCTCCTGTGTACATAGTAAACAGCTGAACCATAAACCATGTCTGCATCAAACCTGCAAAGTGCTTGTACCAGGAATATGTAAAGAACTTCCAGAAATCCATAAGGTCAATGCCAGATATCCAACAGACACTGGATGGGAACAGGCAATTCACAGACTTGAGTGGCAAAACAGATTTTTTAAAAGTTCAGTTTTACTACTCACCAGATAGATGCAAAATAAAATCACAAAACAATAACATTTTACACCAAGCAGATTGTCAGATGTTGAAAAATTCTGTCAAAACCAGGTGTCAATGTGACTGTGAAGCAAGAGAAATTTTCTTAACCTCTGATGAGGGTGCGAATTGATGTAATCATTTTGCAAAATAAATACTCAATGTGCATAGCTTACGAGAGCGAGAGACTGGAAACAACCTAAATGTTCATCCGCGGTAAAGTAAATGGTGGTATCATTCATTCAATAGATTGCTACCACACAGCAGTTAAATAACTGGACCAACGTGACCTTATCACCGGAACTCAAAAGCATCGTATTGAACTAGAGAAAACAAGCTGCAGAAGAATTTGGTGTTATTTATATCACATGCAAAAATGCAGTATTATAAATTTTATGTGTATCTATATATGTAATGAAAATATAAAAACAGTCACGGCCCTAGTGAAAATATAAAAATAGTCATGAAAATAATAAACCAGACAAGTTACTTCTAAAGAGAAAAGGATGGAAAAGAAGTCAAGAAAAAGTTCATAAGGCATAAAATGTTTTTATTATGCTTTTTTAAAAATATCTGAAGCAAATAAAGCAAAAATTTTATTTTCCCAGAACTGGGTGATAGATACATATGCATTATTTTATTCTCTATATTTTTATATGTTTTGAGTATTTTATTTTAGGCAAAATGAAAACTATGTTATTAACATTTAAATTCTGGTTACTTCAGAAGTTCTCTAAAATGTAAAAATAAAAAAGAAACAGAACTATGCTTTAAAAGTTGGCCATATAATAAAGCCAAATTTAACATTATTTCCAAAGAACAAGTACAAGTGCCTACTATACTGACACAAATTTCACTGCCACTATTAACCAACACTAGATGTCACTTTACTTCATGCATTAAATTTAAAATGAGGTTTTTCTGGTTGGAATGAGATGAATTTCTTTCTCCAGTAGATATAGAGAATGAAGAAAACTGAGAATGTTTTTGACTACATATCCACCCAGAACGCCAAGAAACATGTCTATTTTGGTTCCAATTTTTATCATTGGTATCTACAGCATATAATAGAGTTGCAAAAATATTGGAAACAGAATGGAC